TAAGACCATTTTCATTTTCTATTCTAGGAGAGAAAGAAGTTTGGCCCTCTTGGTTGGAATATCTGCTATGAGTTTAACGACAGCGACAGAGAATGTGCTTTACTGAACCTCAACCTGTACTGTCACGAAGGAAAGATCCCCTGGGACGCGCTGACTTACATCACCGGTCAGTACGCCCACAGGGCCGGGCATCCGGCCGCGCACCACACGGCCGTCGGCTTGCACCCACCTGGCTTGTTCCAGGGTGGTGTCCTGATGGTCACCAAGGTGGTGATGGTGGCGAGGACTTCTGAGATTCCCTTTGAGAATACGAGACCATGATAAGAATATCATGAGACTATTTGCCTATAGGAAATGGGGTAGATGTTCTCCCAAATAATAGCAGCAAACCCTTAGCTCTTGCCACGTGCCGAGTGCTGTTTTAAGCACATCCCGTGAATTAACAGGTTTGACCCTCACAGCAGCCCTGTCAGGGGAGGACTGTTATGTCCCTGATTTTACACGAGGAAACCGAAGCGCACGGTTTACAAGGGTGGAGCCAAGATTTAAACCCAGGCAGTCCAGCCTCCAGAATCTGTGCTGATGTAAAAATGCCTCTGCTTTGGAAAATGTTATAAATAGACTTACCATCTGACCCAGCAATTCCATTCCACTCCCATGAATATACCAGGGGACACGAAAACACATGTCCATACCAAAACTTGTATGTAAATATTCTTAACAGTATTATTCATAATAGCCCAGAAGTGGAAACAACCTGAATGTCTAGCAACTGGTATATGGATACATAAAATGAGGTGCACCCATACGATGTAATACGGTTCCACCATAAGGAATACAGCTCTGATACACTCGACACTGTGGATGAACCTCAAAAACGTTATGCTAAGAAAACGAAGCCAGACACGAATACCACATGTTGTATGATTTCGTTTATATGAAACTTCCAGAGAAGACAAATGTACAGACTGAAGGTAGCTTAGTGGCTGCAAGTGGCTGGGGACAGAAATGGGCAGTGACTGCAAACAGGCACAAGGTTTTGGGGGGTGGGAGAGAAATGATAGAAATGTCCTAAAGTTAGATCATGATGACCGTTACACAACTTTGTAAATTTACTAAAAACTATTTAATCACACATGTACATTTTACGTGACTTTTATGATTTTTAAGTTATAGCTCATTAAAAATGTTTAAAAAGCAAACAATGGGAGTAAAAAGGCAACGCCTTATCCAGGCAGTAACACTGGCCAGTGGTGGGGTTTGAGGCAATCACTTAAGGATGAATGCAGAAAATATTGATTTGTTTTACTGTATAAATGCTGGACTATAACTCAATAAAAAAAATGTTTAAAAATAAATAAATAAATAGAAAAAAATGCTGGAAATACAAGATGACATGGTCCCTGCCTACCAAAGGCTCAGGGGGTGGAGACGGTAAATTATATTGTGATGTGACAGCTGCCAAGACAGAAGTGTATGCGATGGGAATTGAGAAGGAGCAGGAGGGAAGACAGACACCGGTCAGGACACTGCTATCTTGGAAGAAGTCAATTATTGAGGTTTCAAACACAAATAACCTCCTCTCAACCAAACATCTCAGCTTGAAAGACAAGGAAGGGGAGAAGATCTTCTTGACATAGTGGAAAAGATGGAGATGAGAATGGATGAACAGTTAAAGGGTGCAGAAGTGGAGCATCTCGGTGTCACAGGCAGAATCCTTCTGCGCGCACTACAGAGGTGAAGAACGAACGAGTGGTAGCAATGGGTGTAGAATTTTTCCAAGGAGTAAGATCAGCAAGACAATCGTTCCTACTTGTGATTTTGGGGTGACAATGGAACACAAGTTCTCTGTGGAAAGAGAGATGGGACACATCAATAAATGTTAATTCCCCATAACGTATTTTCTGTGAGGCGACCTGTGTCTTTCACCGTGGAGCTATCTTTCCTCCTTCGCTTAGTATCAGTCATTTATAGGGTACGTATGGAGTTTGAATGCCGTGTTGTGTTTTGTTTCCATTTAGCTCTCTGGCCCGCAAAAGACGCAGCGCTTCATGGCAAGGACGTGTGTTTTAGAACACAGTCAGTGATGGGATAAGACACAAAACCAATATTTTTGAAGCAAAAAAAAAAAACAGGAAGAAGGAAGAAAAATGGAAATAGAGCTCAGTGGCTTCAGTTTCAGTTATTTGGGAAAAGCAAAATAATTAGGGTAGAGCACACATACTAGATTTTTTCCTGCTTTTTAAAAATTGACTTTTACTATCTTTGGGTGGGGGGTGCAGTGGAAGGAACCTCAAACGTGCTGCTTCCACTGTCAGTACCAAATACATGTGTATATAAATAAAGCTATTAGAATGTGGGTACGCATGTCAATTAAAAACAAACAATGATACGTTTTTAAATGCAAACTCCTTCGCAGGTGAAATTACATATGGAGGCAGAGTCACGGACACGTGGGATCAAAGATGCCTCCGCACGGTCCTGAAAAGATTTTTTTCTCCTGAAACGTTACAAGAGAATTATAAATATTCTGAATCAGGTGAGTGACTTTTCAACATTACGGGAAAGACTTTTTCCAAGAAGTTGTTGACAGCTGTACATCCAGGAGCCCTGTGCGTCCTCACAGCCCAGGCCCTGCGCCACCTTCAAAGCTGGTTTGGTTCTAAGAGTACAAAGATACCAATTGTGCAATAACCATTTTGAATTATTTCTGTTCTAAAATGGGCTGTATTCCGTCTAAATGTGTTTTCCAAGTTCTATAAATTCGGGGCCCTTAACCAGGAACTCTTTTCAGCAGCACATCCCTGGATTCTCCGAATCTCGAAATGTGCTCGAGGAAACACCCCCGAAAGGTTAGGACACTAATCAGATGCTAAAGGCCTCAAGGAAAGAAAGTAGGCACAGAAATGAAAGTGAGAGGCTTGGGGAAAACCATCCCCTTTTCTATGTGAGGCAGCTGATTATAGCCACCGTCTAAACAGGCAGAGAAGTACCAAACTTGGCGGGACTCAAAAGCTAAGACAGAACTGCCTTCTGTGTTTTCCTTAACAGGCATCTATTTTGCCCCCGTGGCTGACAGCCTGCAAGAGTTTAAAGACTACATTGAAAACCTGCCTTTGATAGATGACCCGGAAATATTTGGAATGCATGAAAATGCCAATCTCGTTTTCCAGGTACGTGACCTTTCAA